AGTTAACAACAATATAAAACAAAACCTAACAAAAGTTAGATATTTAAAAAGCTAACTTGGATGAGAGACAAGTACTTGTTAGAGTCATTTTTTATGGACTCAATCGTAAATGCTCCAGAAGGATCAGAACTATTATAACTAAAACTTAAAATAGCCATGGCCAAAATTCTGATGGACAATTTAGCAACTAACAGAACAGTGTAGGTATTTTCATTGTTTGCAGAATAACCACGATTATTCTGCATTATATCAGCACCATTCATTTTCTTGTTATACTTACGAACATATGTATAAAAACCTACAAAAGGCTAGCATTACATTTTAATGTGAAGGGCACCAGCTTGGTACAGTGTTTATCTCAACTTTGTATTTTAGAAGGCCTGATATACTTGAAACAAAAGCATATTTAATATACAGAAGCCAGCAACTGTATCACAGCTCTCTAGAGGTTATACACACATATCAGTTGTTACTCTTGGAGTGAAACCTTAGATTAGTAGAGGGGGCAGTGTCAGTGACCCCAAATAGCCTAATCACAGGCACATATAGGGTACTAACTGCATTAGAATCACCTGAGACAATAGTTGTTTAACCACAATTTATGAGGATCCAGAAGACTTGACATGAACTGACTCTTAAATAAACTTGTATTTAGTGATGACTCAATTATCTCAGTAGTCAAAACCCTGACAAAAATCAGCAGAGAACACAGGTAAATATTTATGGGGACTAAGTGTGGAGTTAGGAAACCCGATGGTTGACATTAACCGGTGGCTTATGACATCCGGCAGGGTTCTGCTGACCTGTAGCCAATGGAGCCCCCCAAAATTAACAGGACCAATCTAACCATCCCAGGCCAAGAATTCCCTCCACCTGACATGTGGAAGGAGTTGATAATGTATAGCCCAGTGTTTGAGAGTTGAAGACACACACCCCAGGAACTAACACCTCCACTCTGTTGACTCCAGCAAAGACTTGAGGTTTCAAGACCTCCAGTGCAGTGCTCCTTTTTGAGTTCTTTTTATCCTGTCTGGAGGGCACACTTCTGCTTTGTGTTCACTTTGCTTCCCGTAAGTGAAATTGTCCCAATATACATGTCGGAGCAGCGGCACTCCCTGCGTTCAGCTGCCTGTCGCCTCTCTGTGTCCTAATGAACTTTCGTTTTCCTACTGGATTGTCTTGGTAAATTCTCAGATCACCATGTAGCACCAAAAATCCCTGAGAGTTATCTTGATAGAACAAAAACCTTTTTTTTAGACAGTTGTTTTGAAAATGTTATCAAGAACAGAACAATATTTTTAAGACAGCCTTGTGGTTCTGAGCTTGGAGAATTAAGTTTTAGCTTAACATCAGTACATTAAGTTTTGACCTTATAAAACCTCTAATTTAACTCTTAGATTTCAGTCAACTTAATCGCTTACATAAGCGTCTATAAGCTCCATCTTTTTATGACAACTTACTCTGTACCCCTGGGGGAGTTGTTCTTACCCATTCTTTTCCCATTTTGAAGACAAACCTTTTTTTACATAATGCTTTTTTTCCTATCTAAAAGTACTCTTATCTTTAACCTTTTATTTTTAAAAACCATACATTAATACCTTTTATATTTCTTGTTACTTGTTGAAAATAACTCATAAACCCTTTTAACTTAGAGCCTTATATTTATATGAAAAAAAAACCAGAAAGAAAGCAACCTTAAAATTGTGTTTTTGTATAAAAACAATTTATAGAAAGCCCAGTTGTTGACAGATCCATGTATTATAAAAAAGAATTAAATCCCAGATGCTATTTAGGACAGAATGAAACAGGCCACAGTTATTTCTTCCAGGTGCTAACCCCTGCATGCCTGCGTCGTAGTGAGACCGGATTGAAATAGGTTGGAAACTATTTTTTTTAAGTAGCGGTAGAATGCTACTACATCAGGACACGAACTCGGGGAACAACAATCCTGTCTGGCATCAATGCCTTATTGAATCCATTGCAGAGCCCAGAAGGCTGTCCTTTTGCCTTTTAGCTAATACATTAACCTGGAAAACTGAGATTTTAATTTTAAATGCATGGGGCATTTTTAGACAGAGAATTGAAATCCTGTGCACATGGGAGGCTGAGGGTGGGGTCCATAATCCCAACTGCATGGTGCTTTGGCCAGGAGAGTGAACAGGCCAGCCCAGGGTCACCACCTGCAGCAACCTGGATATGACCTGATCCCCCTCCTGGTCTTGACAGGTCTGAGGTGGGATAATGGCCCATCTCAAAAGCAAGACTTAAAGGAGAAACTATTAGTAGAGGGTTTAGGCAGACTTAGAGGCTTAGTTTTTAGGTGGGAGACCAGAAGGTTGGGACAGAAAAGTACCCCCAATCGTCAGCCACAGGTCATTAGATTTCCAATTGATTTTAAGTTTGTAGTCCTGGGACCACGCGAGTCACTCAGGATGCAGAGAGAACCGACAGTGTGACTTCCCTTCCTCCCTGTCCATTTCTGTCTGTTGTCCTCACCTGGATGGCCAGTCTAGGAGAAGAAATAGAAGCCAGCTATGGAAGAAGAGGGGTAAAAGTAACCTCCACCATGGGTGAGACAGACGTAGTGAGGAATTTCAAAGTTAAACACTATTCATACCTTATGAGATGGGGGGGAGGATGACACAGAGCTGGGTTGAAGTCAGAGGAGGAGGTTTTTAAGGAAGACAGAAAAACGTGTGTGGGGGTTGGTTTAGGAGAAAGAGAGAGGGAGAGACTGGAGCACAGATAGACAGCCGCCTGGATATAGAGAGACCTCGGACCATGCCACATAGCATTGGACGGTTTTGAGATTGTGCTGAATTTGGAAATCCAAAGTGCCCAGTTTGGGCCAACGGTTACTATTGTCCAATTTATATTGGGGCCAAACTGTTACAATAGAAAATTAGCCATCTGGGTTTAATGGTCTTTCTGAGCCCCAGAGACTGAAGGTTTTGGAGGAGACATGCCAATGGACTCCCTCAGGGGCTCAGATAATTTTTGACCCATTTTTGTGGATTGGAAATTGAGGGTCCAAAATCGAGACCGTTCCAGTGGAACCAAAGGCCTGAAATTGAGACAATTTCCATGGGACTTCAGGTCCAAAACCGAGACGATTTCCATGGGACCAAGACTGAGATTGACAGGTGGTGAGCAATCCGCACAGTGGCCTTACCTGGTAGGACAGGCGTGTGATAAGGCAGGAGTGTCCCCACTGCCAACTGAAAGCTCACACGTGCATGCACCTGGATATCTTCCAGGCTTCCCCAGACAACAGCAGGTGAATCCACCTGGTTGGTGGACAGAGGGAGTGTCACCAGCCGGGGCTTCCATGGTCCACAGTAGGACTAGAGGGAAACCCGGATGAAGGGGAAAACTCACCAAAATTTGAAAGCCGATGTTGGGTGGAAACCCAGTGATGGGAGATGGTCTGTGGTGGAGCCATCAGAGAAAGGAAAGAAAGGAAAGGATGGAAGAAAGGCAAAAAAAAAGGGGTCTGAAAGCGAATCCAGGAAGGGCTGCTAAGTCCACTGCTTTCCAGGTTGTGACAGCGGAGAGCTGGAGTGGAATCTACACGCCTGTCCCGGGTTTTGGCACCATCTGTTAAAATGGAAGAGGCAGAGAGGTGACTCAAACACCAGCATAGGGTTTATTGTTCAGGAAGGAGCTCCGTGGAGGGGGAACCCATCAAGAGAGCTGGAGCCCACAGCTGCTTACAGACTTGGAGTAGACATAGGGGAGTGGTCTGGAGGGCAAGCCCCACTGGGTGGGAAAATTCTTCCAGAGAGGAGTCAACCATTGCTAGGGGAAGCTAGAGGAGGTAAGTGGTAACTAGGTAGGAAGGTCACTCAGCTCTGGGCCCCCTGGTGAGGTAGTGGCTTGTCACTTCCTTGAGGCTAGATGTGGTCCTTCCAGGGGGTGGTGGGGTGTCAGTAAGCCATCTGCAAGGATGGCTTCCAATCCTAAAGTGGCTTCTTTTTTGTTCACCCTAACAGTATCCAGGTCCCTTTGTGGTGGGAAGAGCTCCCTGTGCTATGTGCTTTCTGGCATGCACATAGTTTTTACCCATTTTCTCATTTTATCGTGACTTTTCCCTCCCAGTTTAAGTGCTCTTATCAGTTGGCCCTCCCCAACATCCGCAGGCCATGGTTAAATACCTTACCTTGAAAGTGGACCACCACGGACTGTTTTTCTAACAACTTCCACTTTGTGAGACTCCTGTCGTGAGGCAACTTGAAGTGCCTTTCATGGTTGTGGATCTCAGACACCTGAGAATTTGCATGGGAAGTAGGAAGCTGTGGAGCCCCCTCACCCCAGTTCCAGTAACAAATCCTGTCTGAAAGTTAACCTAAAACAATCAGACTTCAATGTAAAGCTACAAAACGTTTAGCAGAAAATCTTTAGAATCTAGGATTAGGCAAAAAGATCTCACATTCCGTGCCATTGAACACATTTTCAACACATTTGTAAATGTCAGATTATAAAGTTTATTTTGATGGGACTGGGGTTTGAACTCAAGGCTTCACACCTGCAAAACAGACACTCTACCACTTGAGACACACCTCCAGTCCATTTTGCTCTGGTTATTTTGGAGATGTAGTCTCGTGAACTGCTTGCTTCGAACCTTGATCCTCCCGATCTCAGCCTAGGATTACAGGTGTGAGCCACCAGCTCTGGGCTTGTAATATTTATTAACATAGGTGATTTAAAGCGATGTGTCCACAGAAGGCACCAGACTGGCTGTAGCTGCCATCGCAGGCCCGCGCCAGCCCAGCACATAGTAGGGCTGCACTGCGCGTTGCAAACGGGACAGCTCCGCAGAAGCACAACCCAAGGGTGCCCAAGGCCTCAGGTTTCCGCCTGAGAGATCCGCCATGCGCAAGCGCAAAACCCACGGCGGCACACGCCAACAGCCCTGGCGGAAATGACTACATGGTTTCCTCGCGAAGCGCATGCGCGAGCTCTTTCCGCATTCCCGCGAGAGTTTGAGAGAGAAGGTCGAGACGACTTTCGGTTACGGGGATTTGGGCGAGGTGCAGGCTGGTCCAGGTGGACCAGGTAGACGGGGCGGACGGGGAAACCAAGAAGTCGGGCGAGAGGCGGCGGGCCGAGGGCAGCCGGAGCCCCGAGCCTTCGCTGGCCGCGTCGGCGCCATGGACCCGTTCCTGGTGCTGCTGCACACGGTGTCTGCCGGGCTGTCGAGGGACGAGCTAACAGAGCTCAAGTTCCTGTGCCATGGGCGCGTGGGCAAGAGGAAGCTGGAGCGCGTACAGAGCGGCCTGGACCTCTTCTCCGTGCTGCTGGAGCAGAACGATCTGGAGCCCCAGCGCACAGACGTGCTGCGCGAGCTGCTCGCCTCCCTGCGGCGCCACGACCTGCTGCAGCGCCTGGACGACTTCGAGGCGGGGGCCGCGGCCAGTGCCGCGCCGAGGGAGGCAGGTGGGCGCCCGGGGCTGGGGGGATGGGGGCGCGGGCAGGCTGGGGAAGGCGGATGGGCGCCCGGGGTGGGTACAAGGAGTGGGGCCGCGCCGAAGGAGCGGCTCGTGGACACTTCGGGGAGTGGGGCCCAGGCGGGGAGGTGAGGTCATTTCCCCAGCCCTAGGTCTAGGGAACCCACCTGAAGTCTAACCTTAGAGGGGGGACACAGGTGACAGGCTCACTCTGCAGATGGGAGAACCAAAGCTCAGAAAATTTAACTCAGCCCCCAGTACTGAAAAAAAAAAAAAAAAGAAAGAAAGAAAGAAAGTGAAAGTGTTTTCTTCACCCTCCTCAGGTAAATTAGAAAACTTGCGGAAGAATAGGGCGCTAAGTCAGGGTGGAATAGTCAGTGGGCAGAGTTCAGGCGAGCCTGCGCTGCTGTCATTCCCTTCTGCCTCTTCCTGGCCACCCAGCTAATGTCCTTCCTGATGGAATAATATACCGCCACCAATCGCTCTAATCCCGGGGCTTGCATTGTGACACTCTTCTAACGCGCTTTTCGTGTTTTCGAAATAACCCTGAGGATTAGGGACGCTTGCCAGCCATCATTATTTCTTTATTTCAGACCACAGGGTGTGACTCAGGATGTTGGGTGGCTTGCCCAAATGCACAACTGATGTCCAGCAGCCAGGGTGGAACCAAGGCAGCCTGGCCACGGATCCCGTGGTACAGGCCAAGCGTCTGTGTTAGACCTTTCAAACCGTGAAGGAGGAAGGATTTACTTAGGTTCATGCTTTCAGTCCCTGGTTAGCTGGCTCCCTTGCTTTGGGCCCATGGTGAGGCAAAGTATGGTGGAGCAAACCTGCTCACTTTGGTGGCCAGGAAGCAGAGAGTGACAGGAAGGGGCTGGGGACAAGATTATGCCCACCAAGGCCACAACCCCAGTGAAATACTTTAACCTATGAAAGTTTTCTTCATCCCATGAATCTGCCAGGGATTAACCCACAGATGAGGTCAGAGACCTCAGGGGCCAATCACCTCTCAAGGATTGGCTCCAGCAGCTGGGGACCAAGCCTTCAGCACACAAGCCTTTTGGAGGTGACAGTTCATATCCAAACCCTAACAGCATCCCAATCCAAACATCCGAAATGCTTCAAAATCCAAACTTCTTGAGCCCTGACCTGACAACATAAGTGGAAATTCCACACCATGAAACTGTTTCATCACAAAATTGTTAAAAATGTTCTATAAAGTTCCTTTGAGGTTGTGCATGTAAGGTGTATATGAAGACAGAGACTTCGTGTTTAAACTTGGGTCCCATCCTGGACATCTCCCTGAGTATACACAGATACTCGGCAATGGGTGGGGTCCTCCAGCTGTCCAGTTGCAATGATACAGTTGGTGCTGGACAGAAAAGCTGTGTTGAGGGTATTTCTTGATGGGGAGATTCCTGTAAGTTTAAAGGGCAGTCCAGGGGACATGCATAGTAACTTTAGGCTGATGTGTATTTGTAGGTACGGTTTGTTGGAGGGCAGCTAGCAAGTTGCCAGTAGAGGTGGGTGGATTGATAATGGGTGACTCCGTATTCCTCTGTGGAAGGCAAGTTAGTGTTAGCATCATGATCAAGGGGGACTCTGGGACCAGCTTGTCAGGATTTTAAATCCTGGCTCCACCATTTTCTAGCTGTATGACATCAGGAAAGTCACTTGCTGTGCAGTGCCCTAGATTCCTCCCTGTACAGACGGTGGTAGTGACAGGCACTGGGCTGCAAGGCTAGGGGAGTTGGTGCCCATACCGCCAACGTCCTGGGTGTGCAGGGAGCCGTCTAATTGTCAGTTGTTTTCCATGCAGCCCCTCATCCTGCCTTCCTCCTCTCTCCCTCTGCACTCCAGAAGCAGCCTCCTGTGCGCTCTGCAGTGCTCAGCTCACTGGTCTCGGGCATGGCTGAAGAACAGTGGCCAGGGACCAAAGCCTGGATGCTGGTCAGGGCAACTTCCACAATGAAAACTGGGTTGTGCTGAGTATCTTGGGGCTGCTACAAAGAGATTTTTACAAAGCTGGTGGCTCAAAACATTAAAAATGTATTCTGGGTTGTGGCTGTGGCCCAGTGGTAGAACACTGTCTAGCAAGCCCAATAACCTCAGTTCAAGCCCTAGTACGACCCAAAAGATAAAATAAAAATTTATTCTGGCACAGTATAGAAGCCAGAAATCTTATGAAGCAAGTATCAACAGGGCCACGCTCCCTCTGAAGGCCTAGGGACCAGGGCTGCCTTGCTTCTTCCCATTCCTGGTGGCTCCAGGCATTCCTTGGCTTGTGGCTGCATCAGTCTCTGCCTTCATTGTCACATGGCTCCTCTGTGAGTCTTACTAGGACTCTGTTCTTTCAGGGCCCACCCTGATAATCCAGGGTGACCTCCTGTCAGGATCCTCACATCTGCAAACATTCTTTTTCCAGATAAATTAGCATTCAGAGTTTCAGGGATTTGAAAGCCTAGCTTTGGAGGGCCCCATCCAGTCTGCTGTGAGAGCAACTCTGTTTTCTTCCCTCTCAGCTGCCCAGCCCCTGCCTTAGTTTCCCTTGTAGACAGGTAGCTCGCTATGACCCATGGGAACTGACTGGGGCAAAATTGGTGGCCTCTCTGGCTTTCTAGGACAGCCCCTGGGCTACTGGGTGACTTCGGGCCCCCACACAGGATCCCACATGTGGCAAGTCTGCCTGCCCAGCATTCCTGTCAACACTGAGCAGCCTGTGGGGGTGGGGGTGTCCTGTCTCCTAAGAGCTTCCCAAATCCCTAATAAGTCTTGTTCTTTCCCTCCCAGACCTGCGTGTGGCATTTGACATTGTATGTGACAATGTGGGGAGAGACTGGAAAAGACTGGCCCGGCAGCTGAAGGTTTCAGACACCAAGATCGATGGGATCGAGGAGAGGCATCCCCGCAACCTGAGTGAGCGAGTGAGGGAGTCACTTCGAGTCTGGAAGAACGCAGAGAGGGAGAACGCCACAGTGACCCGCCTGGTGGAGGCGCTCAGGGCCTGCCGGATGAACCTGGTGGCCGACCTTGTGGAGGAGGAGCAGGCCCAGGAGTCCTAAAACGAGACGGGGGCTGTGTCCCCAGTGTCATGGAACTACAGTGTATCCACCTCGGAAGAATCCTGACAAGCCTGCTGTGACTCTCGTGGGACTGTGTAGACTTGGTTCTTTCCACCAAGGGCAGCCAGGTGTCGCCTGAACCCAGTACTGTGACGACACGACCGGGAGCCCTGCAGATAGCCTGCTGTCTCGACTGCGGACAAAGCTGTGTGCACTGAGCACCTGTGCCGGCCATGTAGGACTTTCCCACTTCCCTCCATTGCCCGGAGTTCCATTAAGAGAGCACCAGCAGCAGAAGCTGAAGCCACCATGGGCACATAAGGCACCTGTGCAAATCACTGATGCTACTGTCATTCTGCAGGGGCAGAGAGCTGTACGGAGGGACCAGAGCTGGAGGGTGTCAGGCAGGAACAGCATGCTCCTACATATCCAGAGTCCACACAGCTGGCCAAGAGGATGTTGGTCCCCTTTTGTCCTCTTTCCTCTGAGGCCATCAGGATCTGACACCAGAATCAGGGTTGGCTACCTGATCTAGGAGTCAGGGCACCATGCAAGCGGTGTCCCTGAAGCTCACAAAGCAGGGACAGCAGTGGCTGTGGAGGTGGGGGGATGACACCAGGACCTTAAGTGCTCACAGTGGCTGTGTAGTCTGCATGTCAGTGTCTTGGGAAGACTCTGATCCCTGTAATTCTACAGTTGCTCTTCTGTATCAAAATCCCACTGACATCAGAGCTGGCAGAGGCAGACCCTGTACTCACAGGAAGCCCTCCTGCTTCCAGGTGGTCCCTTAAGTGCCTCTAGCCTGGAAGCCTCCGTGTCACAAAACTTTCTGTTCCTATGGAGGATTCATTTCCAACATCCTCAGGAGTTCCAATGAAGTCGACCTCATTGTTCCTTGCAGCTCACCTGGGTGCTAATCTGTGAATAGGGTGGTGAGCTTTCCTCATGGTGCACTCCCCTAAGCTATAGACGGCACCTTGCCACCCAGCAACTGCCTGTCCTAACAGGCATGAGAACCAAAGCCAAGCCAAGGTTCTTTTTCCCAGCTGTATAGCTGTGGCCTTGGGAAAACCACAAGTGCCACACTGTGTCACCTTGGGATGCTGAGATCTTAACCAGGATCCCAGGGAGCACTGATCCACTAAGCAATGGATATGGTCCTGAGCCCCACCCACCTCCACAACTTTCCATGTCTCTTCCTTTATGGGGAGGAGCAGGTTTTGGAGCAACCCTGGCTCCCTCCCAGTCCTTTCCACCCACCCTGTGTCTCCACCCAGGACAAGGTGTGGAGATGAGTTCCCAGACTCATTGTCCTCACTGCTGTCCACCCCTGACAGGGAGAAAGTGGGCCAGCCCCTGGCAGCCAAGCCAAAGAGCATGGTGACATGGGGTGAGCTTGCACAGTGTCTCCTGAAATGTGGCACTCAAGACACATCCATTCACCCAGTGACCATCACTGGCACTGAGGTGCTGAGGTCACAACTGGGGACAGCAGCCCACCTTCAGAAAGCTCAGAATTTTCTGAGATTCCAAAAACAAGGAAACAATGACTAGAAGAAGCATAAACTAGCTGGGCATAGGGGCGCATGCCTGTAAACCCAGCCTTGGGAGGCTGAGGCAGGAGGGTCAGCCTGGGCTATGTAGTAAGACCCTGTCTCACAAAGACCCTAAAGGCCAGAGGCTGGCGTGTGTGTGGTGATTCTTCCTGGCCAGAATGGATGATAAGACTTACACTTTCTTTGTTTTCTACATTTTCTATGATAAGGTTTTTATTTCAAAACAACTGGCCCACGAATGGAGCCGTGGTCCCACATTCCCTGTGCTGTAGGGAATGTGGGTGGGGAGCAGTGGAGCATGGGTACTTAAAGCAAGCCAGGTTCATATCTTGGCTCTGCCCTTGGTGGCCCTGGCACCCTGGAGGGACCATGGGTGAATATCGATTACGTACTGTAGTCTGGACCCTGCTGTGTGGGCATCTTGAAGAGAGCAGCAGGATTTCACCCGTGACGGGTCAGCCCAGAGTTCTCCCTCACGTCTGCTCAGAGTGTGGGAGCCCAGCGCTCAGCCTGTGGCCCTGGTGTACCCTTTCATGCTCCTGTCTGACCAGGTGCACAGCCGCTGGAGGGTGCCAGGAGGGTCCCCACCAGGATAGGAACCTTGGCTTCAAGGGGTAGGCGACCGATCTTCTGATCACTGTCTAATCAGCACCATGATCTTTGGAGCAGGTTTAATTACACCCCATGCTGGAGGGGGGAGAGTACTCCAGGGGTCAACAGGCTTTCTTGTAGGACATTACCAAAAGAGACGGGTCCACACTCCTCTTTGTGCTCCTGTAGGCTGTGCTTCCTGGAGCAGGTACCCTATTCTGGGGTTCACTTGACAGCTGGAGTTAGAGCCACACCCTGCTCCACGCCCAAGTCTCCATTCCCAGCAGAGCCCCAGGAGCGACAAGTGAGTGCTCTGCCCTGCTCCACCTCTGGGTGCTGCCACCTCTCCCGACCATCCTCTCCTCTCCATGAACTTGTCTCTGCTCTCCTGGTCCTTTCACACTCCACACCCAGCCTGGCCCCACCTATGCCCCTCATCCCACTCACCAGGACCCAGGGCCTCCCTTAGCCCTCCCTAACCATGTCCCCAGTGTGAGCCTGGGACACCCTCTCCAACCCACATCTTTACCTGGGCCCCGCCCTGCCCTACTGTCAGTGAACCAGCACACCGTCACTGAGCTGCACCCTGGCCTTCTGAGTTCCTGTGGCTGCTGTATCAAACTGACTGGCTTAAGCAACACTTAAAAGTTCTCAAGACAAATCCAAAACTGGGTCCCCAGGGGTAAGGTCAGGTGAACGGGCTGGTTCCTTCTGGAAGGCCTGGAGAATGGTCCTTGCCTTTGACAGCTTCTAGAGGCAACCTGCATTCTGTAACTTGGGCCCCTTTCTCCATCTTCAGGCTAACAACTTAGATAACCAGCCTCTGATTCTTTGCCACAAGAGCTCTTGGGAAGTCCAGGATTCAGCCCCAGGCGCAGAACTTCTGCCACGTCAGGGAACACTCAGAGATCTGGAGATGAGGATGTGGGTACCAAGCCTCAAACTCGACATTTCCCCACACAAACTTCTGCCCTGGGGCTCCCTTCCCCACAAAGCACCAGGTCCTGGACCCTGTGCCTCATCAGCATCTCCTATCCCCCTCCTCTGACCTTTGCCACTGCCCTCCTGCCCAGCAGGGCCTCACCGTTCTTCCTGGACTAGAGTGTAAGTGACCTTCAGGCTTCTGTCCCCTCTGCTCATCCCACCCCCACCAGCAGCCAGAACCGCAGGACCCATCTCTGTTCTTAAAAGGCAGGGCTCTTCATACTTTTAGTTTCTTATTTTGACCTCTATGATAACTATTCTGAGTCATCTAGCTGACTTTTCTGACCACGTGGTCCCTGTGGCCTGAGTTTGGAAACAGATGGGTGAACGTGACTAGGGCCAGTCCCCCGCAGCTGCTGGCACAGAGGCAGGCCTCATCCTGTATGGGAAATATGCGACAGAAAGCTATTTCCATCAAAGAAAGCCTGGAGCTCTCGAGTCGTTTCAAAGCTGAGACTGGGACGGACACAAGCATCATCAAAGGTCAGAGGCTGGTTCAGGCAGTACTGGGTCTTCACTGAGCCAAGTGACGTGGGGATGAAGTTTTTACGGTGTGTCTGGAATAGATCTTGGTAGGCAATTTGAGTCAGGCACATGGCGACACAAGGCCCCCAGACTCCAAACCACCAATGACAGTGGGTTGATCCAAGGCCACAGTTCTGTGTCATCAAGAGGGCCCCATGCATATTTCGGGGTGGGGCGAGGGGGCTCCTGCGTGGTATGGAAACCGCCTTAGAGCTGCATGGTGGTGACAGTCCCACAGTGGTGTGAGTGTGCGTAACACCCCTGAACGCACTACACGGTGATTACGGGTACGTGTGTGTATTTTACCACAATTGAGACCCATCCCTCACAATAAAGCTAGTGCATTTAATGATCTGTGTATTGGTTGATGATTTTTAGTTTAGAGGCTGGAAGCACAAGCTTCCATCCAGCTCTGTTGGAACTGAAGGGTTAAACACCTGCTCACCTCTGGAAGCCAGAGCCAGTTCCCTTCGTTCCAGAGGGGTTTGTGGCTGGAGGAAGCAGCTACACAGTCCCCTGGAGATGCGGCCCCAGACCACAGCGTCATCACGAACTGGACAACATGCACAGCCCGTGCAAGAGCCCAGCCCTGGGCCACTCTCCCCCTGCTACAGGACTCTGCTCAGGCTGCGCCTCCCCAAGGCTCCCTGTCTTCCCCTCACCCCCGCCCGGCTCCTGGGTCCTAAGGCCCAGCTCAGGTGCCCTTCTGGTGGCAGCTCTGCTTTCCCACCCACCCCTGCAGTCAGCCTCTCAGGTCCCTGAGGGCTGCTCCGGGCCCTTTCCTGCAGCTTCTGAGAAAAGGCTTACTCTGCTGAGTGAAGAATGAATAACCAGTAACAATAAAATGCTCGTGTGTCCCTTACACCTGCTTCCAGCTAAAAGGACCAGGCTAGAGGTGAGTGGGGCCAGGTGGGCCTCCCTGACCACGTGTGATGCCTCTACGCCCCTGGCCCGACCCTGGCTCAGGCACCACAGTGACCCAGACCCAGGCTCTGTCCTTCAAGCTGTCCAGACCTGGTAAGGCACAGCCTGGACACCAGGAAGGAACTCCCTCCTAAATCACCACAGGCCACCATCAGGATCCCATTCCCCAGGCAGGGTCCATGCCTGTGTGTGTGTGGACCTCTGCACTCCAGGTGTTCTGAGCCATGTGCTACATTCATTCATTCCATAGGGTTTAGCAAAGGGCTCAGATCTTGCACTGCCCCCACCCAGCTCCCCACCCTCCAGCCTGGGACCATTCCTCTGTCCCTTCTCAGCCTCAGTTTCTCACCTGCTGTGAAGCGTGAGATGTGGGAAGGATGGGTGACAGGCCGAGGAATATCTTATCACCTGAGGGTCTGCGTGGTGGAGTTTCTCACACCAGCTTGGCTGAGTGCAAAACCATAGGTTCATAGCTTCCTCCCCAGGGGCCTATGGAGGCCTCAAATGATGCCCAGGTAGCTCAGGGGCAGCCGACTGACAAACTGTGAAGGTTACAGAGGGACAATGGAGAGGGGACTCTCTTGTCATCTGGGCCCGGTGATGTCCACAGCTCAGACCATAAACCAAAGGCTGCTGGAAACACAAAGACATGAAACTTTACCTCGCTTTTCTCAACACTGACCAAAAATTGAATACCCCAAAACAAAAGATGGTAGGGGGGACCCAGCGCAGACAAGAGATGCCACTCCAATAGAGAGACAGTGAGCAACCCGATGAAGGGGCATTGCATGGCCAGATGCTGGCCTCAGGCCCACTGCCCGGGTCTGGCCCCGCCCTGTTGTGTGCCCTTGGACAAGTTGACTTACCTTCACAATGAGATTGCAAGCCTGCCCAGAAGAGGTGCCAATGAGGGCTCTGTGGCTTGCTTGTGCAGAGCAGGGTAAGAGCACCAGGAAGACGCGGGACCCACGATGTTCCTAGTGTGTCTTATAACCACACTCCCTGTCACGACCACAGCGTGCCTTCCTTTCTGTATTGTATGAGCTCCTTTTAAGGTGAGTTTTCTGGTACTAACCATGAAAGGCACCATAGTGAGACATGGGGGAATTTGGAATATGGGAAGATGCTGTTTCGAGAAATTCAATAAATGGGAAAATTTGTTGCATTGTTACTGACTTCTGCTGAAATACCTTCCAGATAGATACAAGGTATAAGTGCAAATGAGAAAAGAAGCCAAAACTCAGGAGAATTTCCTGATAATTTTGAAGAGGAAGAAGAGGTCATGAAATAAAACCTGACGGAGCCTTGAACACCAAAAGTGCTGGGGGTGAGGCTCAAACAGCACCTGCCTAGCAAGCTCAAAGCCCTAGGTTCAAATCCCAGTACGGAAGGAAAAAAAGAAGAAGAAAGAAAGAAGCCAGGTGCTTGCTGGTGGCTTACACCTGTAATCCTAAACTACTCAGGAGGCAGAGATGGGAGGACGGTAGTTTGAGGCCAGCCCTGAGTAAACAGTTCATGAGACCCAATCTTGAAAATATCCAACACAAAACAGGGCTGGCGGAATAGCTGAAGCAGTAAGAGTGCCTGCCTAGCAAATGTGAGGCCCCAAGTTCAAACCCAAGTGCCGCCAAAAAACAAAGAAAAAACTAAAAAAAAAAAAAGCTGTGAATTGTGGCTCATTCCTGTAATCCCAGCTACTTGGGAGGCAGAGACGGAAGGATCAAGGTTTGAGGCCAGCCTGGGCAAAGGTTAGTGAGACCTTATGTGGAAAAATAAACTGAAAGCAAAATGGCTGGGAGCGTGGCTCAAGTGGTAGAGCACTTGCCTCGCACACATGAGGCCCTAAATTCAATCCCCAGTTGTGAAAAAAAACCCTAAAGATGTCTACTTATTGAAAAGCTATTATGAACCAGCTTAGAAGACAGTTGACCAGTTGTGAAATACTTGCATACCCATTTCTTTTTTTTTGGCAGCACTGGGGTTTGAACTCAGGATCTCACACTTGCTATGCAGGTGCCTTACACCCTTGAGTCACTCCGCCAGCCCTTCTTTGTATTGGGTTTTTTCAAGACAGCATCTCGTGAACTATTTGCCCAGGTTGGCTTCGGTCTGTGATCCTCCTGATCTCTGCCTCCTGAGTGGCTGGGATTACAGGCGTGAGCCACCGGCACCTGGCTTTGCCTGTCTGTTTTACAGTGAAGTAGAAGCATAGGTTAAACAGCTTGCCCACGCCATCCGGTCACTCACTTGTGATTCAGGAAGTGTTCACCGAGTACCTGTTAGGTGCCAGGACTGGACACCTGAGGAGGGCAAGACAGACCCTGTCCCTGCCTTTGTGTAGTTTCCATTCTGGCAAGAGAGACAGACAGAAATCTGATAAGCACAGAGACAGACGTGTGGAGAGGCCATACACAGGCCACATGGGTCCTTGTCACGGCCAGCAGAGCCAGCATCTCTATAGGAGGGCATTGTGCGAAGAGGACAAGAGCGGGGAAGTTGGCTGGCAGGGCAGTGGGAAACACCTCCCAGTCAGAGCCTGGACCCTGGAGGGGGATCCAGGACACACTGAGGGCCCTGGGGGCGGGGCTGGGGAACAAGGCTGAGGCTGTCACAGTGTCGCTCCAAGCAGAGGCTCACAGCTTGGACTAAGATTCAGGAGGGGTCACCCTTCCTTGGGGACGTTCTTCTCCCAGCCAGCAACAGAGATACCCACCTCTGGGAAGGCATGGTAGAGGGACATGGTGGCTTTTGGTATCAGCAGCCACTCAGGGTCTGCTTTGGGTTCACCACCCCCCCAGCAGCTCCCAGTGACTGTCCTGCTGAGAGCCACAGGCCGCCCGCTCTGCCCACTGCCTTGGTCCTCCTGATTGGTCTTGGTTTTCCCTGCAGCTGGCACTGGTCACTATCTGGCTTGGTCCTCAGAGGCAGGGGAGGGCATGAAAGAGTCCCTGCGGGGAGACAAGGCCTACATCAGTCAAGGATGCTTAGTGACAAGAGACCAGGAGAGCAGGGTGGAGGCAGCTGGAATGGCACAGCAGGGAAGATGAAGGCAGGAGAGATTTGGTAATGTGGAGGGGGGAGCAGAGTTGGGATGTGAGCATGTGAGGCAGGGTGCCATCGTGGAGGGTCCCTGAACACTGCCTGGTGGCCTAGCTGAATTTACCCCATCCTAATCCTTTCGTCATTAAGGATGGGGTACCCAAAGGCCAGAAGTGGGGAAAGCCAAAACTGCTGGCCACCAGAGTGACCCCAGACCACCTCTACTGTCATTATAATCCCTCACAAGCTAAATGACACACCCAGAGCCATGACAGCTGACAAGCGCCAAGATGTGATCAGAAAGAACCCTGAGAGCAGAGAAGAGAAGAGGCGGGGCCTAAATTCCCAGAAGTCTCCGCCCACTCCCACAAAGGGCATGAATGCCCCGCCCCTTCATTAGCGTGCCCCGCCCCTTCATTAGCGTGCCCCGCCCCCTCGTTTCCTTGCTCTCCATCTACCTACCGTCTCCCATCCCATGGCTGGGGAAGTTTTCTTTCCGACCTGTAAAGCTCTTGGCCAGAAGAAAAGGTCCTTTGCTGCTGTCTCCCCTCGCTCTTGTCATTGGTTCCACAATTTCCAGAGGGAAACAGTGTGAGGACAAAACTGCGGGGGGGGGGGGGTGCTTGTCCCCAGGTAGAGAAAGGGACGTGGAGGCTGCGACAGGGTGGGGAAGAGCCCTGAGGCTGGGCTGTGAGGCACCTGAGGCTCAGGGGGAGTGGGAGAGGTGGCACCTCGGCATGGGGACAGTTCTGTGGGTGTGGGTGTGAGCTGGACGGGGAGAACAGTGGGCAGGGGCCAGGCCCCAGGGAGGATGCAGGGCCTATAGGACGTGGGTAGAATTGAGGGACCTAGGCATCAAAGGCAGGACAGTGACAGCACACAAATCCAACCTACACCCCACTCTGTTCTGCCCCCAACACGCGCGCACCCTGTAATTCGAGATGGATGTCACTATGTGGCCCTGGCTGGTCCCGAACTCCTGGACTCAAAGGGTCCTCCTGCCTCAGCCGCCTAAGCTGCTGGGACCACAGGCGCCTGCTTCACTCACACCCTTGGGGTGGAAGAACCTTCTGGAAATGTGTTCAAACTGCCGTCACCCAGTCATTCAGAGTCTGATTCAGACCTGGGTGGAGCCCAGGGGCCAAGCCCATGTCACCGCCACTGTAAGCAGTGTCCGTTGTCCTCAGACATGACTATTTCTTCATCACTGGCCTGGCTCTGTGTCACCGTCGGGACAGGCTGGGGTCACATAGCTCATCTTTGATCTCAGGCTGCAGACAGAGGTGCCCAAGGCCACCAGGATGTCCTGACTCCTCCAGTGGCCACACTGAGGTCACATTGAGTCTCAGGCTCCAGATGACAACACCCAGCACAGCCCAGAGGGCACAGGTAAACTGAGTGCCTGGGAGCACGGAGCCCTGGACTGTAAACCTGCATGACATAAACCACGTGGGAGCCAAGTGGCAGGTTGGGTGTTTTGTTTTGTTTTGTTTTGTTTTGTCTTTAGATTAATCTGCCGTCCAGCCTGTTCAACACACTGGCACGGTTCCCGGCTGCTTCCGGTCCCATCCCAGGATCACACGGCCACAGAGCTCATGGTCTCCT